AATTATTATTGTGATTCGATGCATCGGATGGATACGTCGCTCGACGACGATGACGATGATGCCCCGAGCGCCACAGCGCAGCAGTCGTATAATCGCTGGGATCTCGTGGGAGTCGCGGATAGGTCGATCGTAAAGAATAGCCGCGGCGGCACGGGCGAGAGTGCGCTTTTTCTCGACCACGACAATTATACGCGCGGTACCGTTCTGGTCCCCCCCCCCCCCCCATCGCCGTACGTAGGCCAATTAGCTGACGCGAAAACGATCGTACGTTCCCTCGACTTGAACCTGCTTCGGAAATTTTTCGACTTGTGATTCTTGGACAGAAATTCAGGGCTCGCACCGACTGCCCACAGCTCGAATGTGGAATCGCGTCGAAAGACAGTCGCTCGGCACGCGCGTATCGATCGATTAGGGCCAGCTCCACGCAGAAGTCACGCGTGCGAACGGACAAAAAAGCGTGAGAGAGAGAGAGAGAGCGCCGCGCTGCGAAAAGTATCTCGGACAAACGACTTTTCGTCATGAAGAGGCCCCGAAGCCATTCACGCGCAACGGCAACGACTGCGCGGATCGTGCTCGCTATATAGTTAGCTTTCGGTTCACACCGGATCAGTCGCTTCTCGCCAAATGTGTGTCTCGCAGCATCCTCGCGGCACGTAGGTGCAGTGCGGCGTCAATTAAGGCTCGGGACAAGTTGCCGCGGTATCGCGGCCGATCGGTCGGGAGAGGGCACCAAAACGCTCGACGACGACGCAAGTTTTTCGCGCGGACGCCCAAGCGAACCCGTTTGGCCGCCGAGTCCCCAGATAATGCGTAATAAAAGCCCGCGGCTGGCGCGCGTGATGTAGCATAATTAGCCGAGGCGATAGAAAGCGCAGAGGCGCGTTCCCAGTTCATAAAGAGCTCGCGGCTCGGCAGGCGCCTCGGGCCGCTTAATCGGCCAAATGCAAATAAACGGCCGACAGAAAGAAAAATCCTGGCGCGCGGCAATTAGCGGCCTTCGCGAAAAAGGGTGTCAGCGCTGTGCGCGCGGATCGCGAGCAGCACTGGCATCTGGCCCGCAGGTCGCGCGGCTCGGGCTCTCCAGCCCTCGCGGCGCATATGGGTTCCCATTCCCAAGCTCATCTCCGATCAAAAGAGTCCTGCAGCACGATCTTGCCTCTCTCTCTCTCTCTCTCTCTCGCTCGCTTGCGAGCAGCAGCTTATAACGGTACGCGCCTAGTCGTCGTCCTACTCCTCGTCCTCGTATAATACTGCGACTGGCCAGCCGAGAGGGACGACGCCTTATTCTCTTCCCGCGCAGATGCGTGCCAAATTAATGTGCTTTGTCCCGCGGTGAGCTTGCAAACTAGGTCGAATTGTTGCTACACTGCTGCTGCCACCGCCGCCGCCGCGCGACATCGTTCCGTCGCATGCCCGCGCGCTTTATGCTTGTTTTGTCGATGCGCAACCGCCTAGACTTGCTAATTTTTCATTGTCGATACTCCAATGCTAGATTAATCAGGTCGTCAGTTAAGCCAGCAAATTATCGCTCCCTCTCTATTCTTTCTGAATCGCATTCGAACCTCAAGTCCCGCTTTAGGCCACCGTGCTACCAATAATTTTTACAGTTGAACAATTTGAAGGAAGCTCGCGGACACAACAAAACCATAATTTCTTCGTCAATTTGCGGAAATCGTTCGGGATAATGAAAATAAAATTCGTTTATTTGTATTTGCCATTACGAAAACCATAATGAGGCCCTCCTCCCCATTCAAACCAAAACCATATAATGCCGGGTGGCATTCAATTTCAATTGTCCCTTGGCAGACGAGCCTGCGGTGGTTAAACTTACTTACGCCGCAGTGGCGCCGTATTCACTCGATGCTCACAAGACTATCTGTCGATAAAGGCTTCCGAAAGGGGTATATACCTTAATCGTGTGCAGCAATAAATCTCTCTCTCTCTCTCTCTCTCGAGAAAAGAACCGCGGCTTATCAATGCGGCTTGTCGATGACGCAAGTAACAGCGGCAACAGAGAGTGAGATGTTACGTGCCGTAAATTTGCCAGTGCATTGGTGCTCTTTAAGAGAGAGAGAGAGGCTGTGGAAAGATAGCGTATGGAGCGCGGCCTCCTTTATCTCGTCTCTCTCTCTCTCTTTCCATTACTTTCTCACATCACGCGTGATCCCGCCTAAGATAAGCTATCTCGCTCGCTATACGCGCAAGCTTCCCCGTCATGAGAATCACCATGAAGCCAGAAAGAGAGAGAGAGAGAGAGAAGGAAAAAAGCATGTACCTACTCCCTTCGTTCGCGCCTCTTTCTCCCAATCATTTTCCAAGCTTTTTGCCGCTGCTCCCTATAGATGCTCATGAGAGCTCTAGCGACAGGCTGCTTTCGCGCGCGATCAACCGACTGACTTAGGTTGTGTGTATGTGTGTGCGTGCGTGTGCGTGTGTGTGTATGTGCGCGCGAGCGTGTACTCCTTGTTTTTACATACGTCTTGCGTATCGCGAGCTGCTGGGTGGATCGCCGTTCTCGGAAGATTGTTAAGGCTGATTATCGATAGGCGAGAGCAAAAGGACGAAACTGCATTCCGGAAAATGATGATCATTGGCGAGGCGTTGTCCGGCTGGGAGATGTTGAAAAAAAATTGACCGTTATCTAGGCGATCCATCATCGGCTCTAATAATCGCCCGTGCTAATACATAAGTCCGTCGCGCAAAAATCCAGCCTCTTACGCTAAACGCACGCGGGGATAATTGTTAAATGATTGGCGCTACGCGGCCGGCATCATTACGTTTCGATGTGTTTTCCCGAGAGAGCGTCAAATATCCGCTGACGCGATTCGCGACACAAGTATACGAGCCTAACAGTATGACCGCGCTAATCGATCCAGAGCTCGCGCAACTCACTGTAAAACATCCGGCGTCCTTGTCAGTGCGTACAAGTCACGGAGCAAACGGAGCTCAGCCTGGCCAACTAATTATCGTCGCTATTAACGGGCGGCCCACATTTCGTGCTGCGGGCCGTTACCCGATTGCAGCGTTGCTCGGGTCAGCAGCCATCGAGAGACGCGATGGAATTCCGCGGGCTGATTTTCAAGAAAGGCTCGCCGATTTGATTTCGCTGCCAGTCGTTTCTCGCAGTTTCTTTTTTACGGGACGCGCGCGTAAGCCGACAGCTGGCGAAAGAGCTGTCACTCGAACCGATTCTCGACCTTGATTCGCTTTCCTCGGGCGTTGTGTTAGCGATCGCTGGATCTGCTCCAACTGGCCATCCTCTACGCCTGTGCTTTCGTTTTTCGGGGTGGTTTATCGAGGCAATTTCCTCGCGCGGGCTGATTAGCCGAGGCTGCCGTCGCCGCCGCGCCTCCCGCTAACGTTCTTGCGCTCGTTAGAGCGACTAATCCAGTTGGGGCGTTTTTCCACGAGGGAATTTATCGCGCCTCTCGCTCCCTCGCCTACCGCTCGCTGACGGATTGCGCGCGCCGCGGCGCTTTTTGATTACTAATAAGCAACACGTAGCGTTAATATATCACGCACATTTTGTTTTACGAACGCAGAGTGCCAAGAGTTTTTTCTAACGACCTGCGCTCGCGAGGTATGAATTATGTTTTATTACCTCGGAAATACGAACCGACGATAACGAAAGCTGAACCAAAAAATACTCTTGATTTATACGTTCGGAAAGTAATTCTTTTTTCTTTCTGATTGACACGCAAACAAATGATAGATAACTATGAGCTTATATAGAGTGATAATCGACGCATTGAACCGCGTGTCAAAGCATTAACAGGCAGATTTTACTATCGCAATATATAATGGAACTTCCGCGTGAATTGCACCTGCGCGAGCGCGCGCTCCGTTGTCTCTCTCTCTCTGTTGATTCAACGAGTCAGCATGGCAGCCGGTAAACAGCAGGCACACATCGCAGCTTCCGGCGACGCACCTCACACTCATTCGTCTCGTGCGCGTGTATGCGCGCCTAGCTACGACGGTCAATTGCCTCTCGGAGCCGTAGGGAACAAAAAATTAAGCTATTTGTCAGAGCTAATGGATTTATCGAGTGAAGCGCCATTACTTACGTGTGGCTACTTGTGCTCGCATTGAAACAACGCGCGCGCGCATTGGAGTCACTGTGCGTCAGTGTCGCGTGCTGTTTCCTTGCGAATTCTATGAGCGCATTTTTGTACGACTTCCAACCCCCATCAATCAAAAATAACACAGATCTGCAAAATAAGGGGTTGTGATTGTTCTTGACCAACTGAGACATACATTTTTAAAGTAATTCTTTACGCATAATTAGCATCCGAAATCCATCGCATCAGGTTTTTTAGATATCTCAACCTAAAAAGAAAAAAGGCCGTTTTTCGTTATATTTGAGGTAACAAAAACGGAAAGAACCATCTGAAAAATCTATGTTTACTCTTAAGAATTAATTTTTAAGATTTGAGATATCTTTTTTTTTTTCATTGAGATATCGTTAATTAAATTCAAGTATTTTAGGAGTCTAAAAACAGTTAATTTTCCAGATATGCATATATAACATGCAAAAATACTTGACTTCAATCAATTATATCTCGATGAAAAGAAAAGGTATCTCAAATCTTAAAAATTCATTCTAAACAGTAAAAATAGACCTTTCAGATGTTTCTTCTCGTTTTTGAAAATAAAATTTTTCCGCGGTATTGCGGGATCTCAATTATAGCAAAAAAATATCCTTTTTACGTCTCCTGAGGTATCTAAAAAATCTGACGCGATGAGCAAATCATGATTGCGGATTCTAATCCTTCCTAAAAAATAACTTCGGAAGTAACCCTGAATAGACCAAGAGCAAAATCAGGCAGATCTGTATAATCAAGCGATCGAGCCGGGATGTATTCTTTATTTCATAAGCTCCGTTTTGCCAAATTAACGATAGATTAACCATAAAGTAGCATTATTTTTTCTGTACTCGAGAGAGTTCGTTCTGTCTCCGGCAATATTCACTCAAAGAAATATGTCATAAATGTACGTTACAGAATGGAAACGTTCCAAGAAGCTGCCATTCAAATGCTCCGCGAGTTTCGCACGCTGCTTCATCACACACCACTGCCGTTGCCAGGCACGCGACTTCTGCAACTACTGGCACTCAACATGTTCGCCATCGAGACAACACAGCTCAAAGGTAGGGAAAAATTCATCTCCACCTACCGCCTACTTCCGGATAAATCTTAAGCAGCCCCTCCTAGATTAGATTGGCCCTGCGCTGGCACGCTTTCTTATTTAATGCTGTACCACGACTATCGCAGGTTTTAGTGCAACGACCTCTTAAATCTACTCGCTGGATTACCACCGCTTCTATTCAATTGTCCATGCTCCTTCCAACTTTCGTAATTGCAGTTACGACTTTTTTTTTCTTCGATTTCTCCAACTTTGTCCTTAATGTCTTATGTACTTACTCGCCCTGTGTGCTTTCTTGGGGTTCAGAGGCACATTATCTTGTATTGTTATGGCTTCGATCGTACGAGTATTGCCATTTGAAAGCCCGAGATTGCCAATCTTTGGAACATAACCATTGTTACGAATGAAATTATCAATTTTGGAAAAAGTTCAGAAAAAACGATCGTATATTCCATTATTTTTAGTTAAATGAATTAGAATGGCTCAACGATAAATTCGAAATACCCATTACGCGCCATAATTCGATTATACGTACACGGTCGGTATAAATCAAGCGGTAGCTCGATAATAACTACCCAGCGAGTCTCTTGTTAATTCAATAGCCCTGTTAAAGTCACCTCAAGCGCGGAGCAGTTATGATGCGCGCGCCTCTGATGGTATGCTTTTAATGAAATTCAATTTTGAGTCCGAAGCTATCCTCTGGCAAAGATGAGCATTTCACGCGAGATGCATCGTGGAAAAGAAAAAATTGTAATCGCGTAATGATGGTTTCGATAACCGGGCATTATCGTGCCACCATTCAGTAGGCGAAATTTCATGGCGGTCGACGCGGCCAATTAACCGGTAAGTCTCGCCCGACTGTCGAGGCGCGGAGCTGCTATCGAAACAGTGTAGATAAACACAGGAGGCTGGCGCCTTTTTATTGATTTGCGCTCAAAGTTGATACCCTGCTGGACGATGATAGCCGGCTACGACGTGACTCTTGTTGGCTGTCGTCCCATCTGCAGCATCCGACAGCTGCCGTCCGAGATGGTCGTTGCTCAAGAGATTTGATTCCGCGACTGTCCTGGCGTTCAATTTGCATTTGATTGCTTAGCTGGTCGCTTTTCCACGTATTTTACATGTATTTCGGAGTCGATAGAAACCAAACCACATTTTTAACCAAACGTCAAACAGCACGTTGCCGCTAGATTGACTTGCAGTTGCATCTGCGAGTGGCTAGTCACGTCGTCTGTTGTAGCAAGTGCAAATAGAACTGTTTGCTCTGGTGGGACGCAAAAAGAAGGAGAAGGGGGGGGAGGGAGTAATTTGAATTTGCAACTGGCACTTGGCAATCGGTAGCTACGATGCTCGTTGAGTTTGCGGTCGCTGCGCTACAAGCCAAAGCGACTCCTGCGTCTTTCCAACTTCATCAAGTTTAGCACCCTTGCGGTGAACTGTCGTCGTCGCGCCCGCGCGCCTTTTGCGAATCCTCGTTTGAGGACGCGCTTATTTGCCAAAGCCGAGCTAACTTGAAAGACACAGAACTTGCGCACACTATATCGTTTGCTTTTGTAGTTTGAAAATATACAAAACGGAGATTTGCGAGAGAGAGAGAGAAAGAGAGAGAGAGAGCTGAAAGGAAATATTTTTCTCGCTCTCTCAAAACAAGATCGGCTTTACGAGCGAAAGAGAAAGAAAAAGAAGAGGAAGAAAAAGCCAAAGGCGAGAGATGCTCTCGCGCGCGCACAGCTGCCAGCTGAGCGATCAAGTTTTTTTTCCCTCCCGATTTCCTCCGCCAACAGAGATAACCCACGTCTCTCTCTCTCTCTCTCTCTCTCTCTCTCTCTCTCTCTCTCTCTCTCGCTCTGGACCTCGCGGAATTTATCTCTCTCGCTCCCTCTCTCTCTCTCTCTCTCTTTCAAATGCGCCCGTAGGGTAAACGACCCATCGGCTGCCGCTGGCTTCTTCTCTTGCTTCCGCCTCCCTTCAATTATACGTACACGTCACTCTCGCGCGAGCGCGCCTCGTAGGGCGCAGTAAAAAACTGACGGTCGAGGCGAAATCCTGGCGCCGTTACCGATTACCGTCTCTCTCGTCTTTCTCTCCGAGAATCGTTAGGCGAAAACCTCCCTTTTCATTCCGTAATCACTGACTTCTGTATGCGCGCGCATCATCGGATATCTTGCTGCTGCTGCTGCCGCCGCTGCTGCTCTTCATTCTTTTGTTTCTCGATCGTTTCACCTTTAAACGTGCGTGTGCTTAAATTTAGAGCTGCGCCTGCGATTTATCTTCCACTCGGAAATTACCGGAATGCATTCGCAAAGTAAGCTCCAGCGAGTTATATATCGATTGGAAATTCTGATTCTGCAAAAAATAGTCGTGACGCCGCGTTTAGATTCCGAGTCATTGAAGCAACGTCGGATCCCCGAAATCCCGCCTTCAAATAATAAAAACTCACGTCCCCATGAAATGCTCAAGTTGGCAGCAGTGCTCACGTGGCAGCAATGATCACCGCATCTGGCAGGGCATTACGCTCAAATTTATGAGCTTCTTAAAGCCGCACCAACCCTGTGTGTGGGAAAAATTGTCTCGATTGTGCGCGCACGCACACACATTCAGAGCAGATCTCTTTTCTCTGCGGCAAAAGTCAGAAAGTCTTTGGCTCGACGCCCGCGATTTTTCTCCCTCTCTCTCTCTCTTTGCCAGTGCCAAATTGGCCTACGTGCGGCGGTGGCAGCAAAGATCGAGAGTCAAGTCCTTGTAGGAGGAAGGTGCTCGAGATTACAGAGCGCCAGTGTCAATGAACCCCTTTTACCGAGGCAGGAGTGCAATGCTTCCTCGATGTGTGATTTACGGCGACGAGTATAAGGCCAGAGGCAGCGAGGGAGCTGATCGATCGGCTGTTCTTCGTCGATGTAAGCCCTGTGATTATTTGTAGATTTGGTTGGCTGGATCGATTGACGGCTTGATCTATTTCAAATTGGACGGCGAGGGTCACGAAGGGATTTTTGTATTGATTTTTTAAGCGATTGCCAATGATCATGTATGATTGCAAGCGTAGAGACTAATTTATCTCGACGATCGAAACAAATATATTTAGTGGATTTGCAATGTTAGGGTCTGGAAAATTACGTATCCCTATTTTACTCGTAACGCGATGCTGTTGCACTTGTAAAAGGCAGTGCGATCACACTTTTTAATTACGAGCTATTGGAAGGAAATCAATGGTGTGTGAAATAAACAAGATCAGTGACAGGCAAATTTAATTCAGGCTTGACTGCCTCCTTAGAATTCAATTTCATTAACTATACTCACGATACAAAATTGACGAAGAAAACATAGCCACGTGTCAGGCAAAATAAATATGGCTATGTAGTTGCCATATCGTTGCGTAGCTTTATGTTTGTTGAATTTTGGTTTCCGACGCTAATTGCGTTATTAAAGCCCATTGGAGTAATTCATTTCACGCTAATTCAGTATCTTTATTTATCTAGTCCTGCTATGAAGGTATTTCGCTATAAATCTGGCGGTTAGAAAAGAAAACCCAAAGACAAGCGTTAGCTCGTCGCAGGATTTGGTACTCCTACTTATAATCGCAATTGCAAGATTTAGGTACTCATACCGATCGAGTCATCTGACGTGTTACGTCAGAGTTCATGTCTGGTTCTACTTCATTCAAATTCCAAGAGATTTACAGTTGACGCGAATCGAAACTGCTTGCGTAATTTTAAATGGAGGCATTCCTCTTTGGAAGGAGTTAATTCTCTTAGTTTGACTGATTGTTAGTTCGTTACGAATTAAAATATTTTCTTTTCTTTGTTTGCGCAAAGAATTACCATTTAAACGTACTCGTTCGTCTGAAGAAATCGAGTAAATATTCACGCGACTAATGCCCCAAGTATTAGAAAAATAGGTAAACGATCGTTTGACTTTCGCAGTTAGACTTGTAATGCAGCTTTCCCGGGTATATCGCCCTCCATACTGATTTCTTTTATTACGGTACTATTGGCCATGTAAAACGCAGTAGAATAACATGTCGGTAATTACGATTGGTCGAGAGAATCCATCGGTATATACATTCACCAGAGATATCCGATATCGGGTATAATCGACCATCTCCATACGCGTTATTATCCCGAATGTGTGCACTTAATAGAATGACGTTCCGTAGTCTCACAATACTAATGCAAGCATTTGTAGTAGAACTTCGGCACGCGCGAGTTCAGGTATGTGGTCTCCGACGTTGCTTCGCTATATCGGTATTTGCGCAATTATGGCGCTGTGTGTGTGTGTAGCGTAACGACATGCAGTCAGTCGCTTTCGCGGGCAACGTGTACGACAAGTCCTACAACCTGCTTCCTATAAATAACTTCCTCATAAGTCTCAAATTGCTGCCCTTTGAGTATCGCTGTTCGCCATAATCTTTTGTTCCATCGGTGTTTCGTTCTCGCCTAGGCACATTCTTCTTTTAGTACACGTGTCCGATGCCGTTGTTGGATCGCTGCAAAAATTTATAATTTTTTTCATGTTATTCGTATTATGATCATCTTGCACATTTCGTTCTTGTACGGTGCACAGAAACAGATGGACGAGTCATGGCATTTGCATTGCTTTTGATTTAATTTAGGAATGTGCTGCCCGATACTCTACTCGAACATGCAATTTTTCACGGCTAAAGTTTATCCGAACGGAGAGAAGAGAAGAATCTGGAAATGCTTGTTTTCATTTTCATTCGTGTATTGCTATGTTATTTGCTATAAGAATCGTGGAATCAGTGGAGCGGTGCAACGATTGAGAGAAACAATAATTTTTACGAGAACACGAAGACGAAGGATAGACAATGAAATTGTCGAGAAATACCGTGAGGACGCTCCGTCAAAAAGAAAAAGGGAAAGCAACCTCACCAATAAAGCCGTAGAATGTGAACTCGTGCGTTGAAAGGCCTAATCTATGCAGCTGAGTGAGCAAGCACCATAGAAGCGCGCGTTGGAAAACGCCCATGGGATGAGCGCTCTTAGTTCG